ATTAATTTTTCAAAACACCTTTAAAAATCAGAAGAAAAAGGAACATATCCCTATTAATTTGATGATCCCTACATTACCCTCACATCAAAATCAGACATAAGCAAACAGGGACCAATGTGTCTTATGAATAAAAAGCTATATAACCTCAACAAATATAAGCAAACTATATCAGGTCACACACAAGAGATTATATAGCTTGATCAAGTGGGATTCACAATAGAAATGCAAAATTGGTTTCATGAGTTGAAAACCAATTAATGTAACATAAATAAAAGACAGTAATCACATGATCATCTCAATACATACAGATTAATGCACACAACACAAATACAGAATTTGACACAATCTAACATTCTTTGATTAAAAACAATCAACAAACTAGGAATACAAGTAAACTTCCTCAATTTGATGAAAGGCAGCTTTGAAAAGCCCAGAGCTAACAACATACTACACAATGAAAAGAAGAATGGTCTCTGTCAGCGAATACGAACAATGTAAGAATGTCCTCTGGCCACACTCTAGCTAAGGGGGCAAAGGGGCATCAAGATAGAAAAAGAAGCAAAATTATGTATTTGCAGTTGGCTAGTCTTGTATAAAGAATCCAAATTCTTTTAAAATCTATAATAATATGCTTATAGTTCACAATCTGGCCCTTTTTAAAAATTTTCATGGGTACTTGAGGAAAAAAACGTAGTCTTCTTTTGTTGCTATGGGCACTTTTCTATAGATGCTGCTTCGTTTTTTTTTTTTTTTTTGTTTTTTTGAGGAAAAAAACGTAGTCTTCTTTTGTTGCTATGGGCACTTTTCTATAGATGCTGCTTCGTTTTTTTTTTTTTGTTTGTTTTTTGTTTTTGGTTTTTCTCCGGTACCAGGAACCAAACTCACGACTTTGCGCTTGCCAGGCAGGCGTTTTGACGCTGAGCTAAATCCCCAGCCCCTATAGATGCTGCTTCAATCCACTGGGTAATGGTGCTGGAGCTGTCCTATTCTTCTAAAGTTGCTATTAATTTAATAATGTCTAATGATTCTGTGTGATGAATTCTCCAGCTATCATTAACAATTTGCTTATTTCTTTTTTTAGCTGTCAGTTTTGAACTTTGGAATTCTGTTGCTTACTAAGACACACTTAGAATTACTAGACATATGTTGGACTGATCATTTTTATATTAATCTTTTTCTCAAATAATTTTCATTGCTCTGGAGTCTATTTTATCTTATACTAATAGAATCATTCTTACTTTCTATCTTTACTTATTCCTTATCAAATTATGTTGCTAACTATGTTATGAGTTTTCTATCAATATAAAAACTTCTTTTAAGAACTTGGGATTAAACCCAAGTCTTCTGCACTGAGTTACACCCCCAGGTGTCTTCTATTTTACTGAGAGAGGGTCTCACTAACCAAGTCACTAAGTTGCCCAGGCTTGGACTGAAACCTCTATAAACTGTGAGCCAAAATAAACTTTTCCTCCTGTAACTCTAGATGTCAACTGTTTTGTCTCAGCAACAAGGGATATTCTACAAATACATTTAGAGGTTTTTTTACTGCTATATTCTCAGCTCTTAAAAAATGGCTAGCACATAGCAAAAACTCAAAAATTATTTGAGTCAAAAAATGAGCATACTGGAGCTACATCCCGTGCCTTCCATCTGCTTCCATCACTTGCTTTGACAGCTCATCAAGCTCCCAGGAGCCAGAATGGTGCAGCAGATCAAAACCAATGAGGCAGGGCTGGGGATTTAGCTCAGCAGCACAGCGCCTGCCCAGCAAGCACAAGGTCTTGAGTTCGATCCCTGGTACCAGAAAACAAAAACAAAATCAATGAGGCCTTTCAGCCTTGGCTGGTGCAGGAGATAAACTTGTAGTAGCTGATTTCTCAGCCACATGGTGTGGGCCTTGAAAAATGATCACACCTTTCTTTCATGCCCTGTCTGAAAAACATTCCAATGCATTGCTCCTTGAAGTAGATGTAGATGACTGTCAGGATGTCCCTGCAAAGTATGAAGTCAAATGCATGGCAACCTTCGTTTTTTAAAAAGAGTAAGAAGGTGAGTGAGTTTTCTGGTGTTAATAAGGAAAAGCTTGACGCCACCATTAATGAATTAATCTAATTGTGTTTTCTGAAGAACTGGCTATCAGCTGTTTAAAACTCTTAATTTTTTTATTTACAAAAAAATATAAAGTATGGAAACTATATACCCAACTGCCATCTGATTATAAATGACAATAAAATATTAATTCTACCCTTTTTTAAAAAAATGAGTACATCAAAGAACATCTGACAATGGAAAGTGGAGAGGACAAGGGAGGTAAAGTGGGAAACTGAGATGGCTCTGCAAAACATGGAATAGCCAAGAAAAGCAAGAGCAAAGATTGGATTACTGGCAGATATAAATAGAAAATACTTTAAATGAATCAAAAAACACTTGACAATGGCATTAGAAGGTTGAGTTTAGAAATCAGAAAAAAATTTCAGGGTAGCCAACCCTTTAACTGCAGGTAAGTAATGACTCTTCTGATGGTTTGTGCAGTACAGATTAACTCACCCAGGAAGCTTGGCCTTGGGAATTCTTCCTCCAATATCCATGGCTCTTCTCCTTGCTCCAGTCTGAAGATCAACTCTGGCTTTGTCATACAATACCCTGTTAATGGGAAATGATTAAGGACTCGGGCTGTCATGGCTTCTGATGGAGGGAATGCACAATGCCACTAGAACACCTCACTGGAGAGGTGAACACAAATATTTTCTGGTGCACAAAACTAACAAATCTATACTCTTGGATTACTCAAACAGAATCTCAAATAATTACATTGCACAGTGCCATATGCTCCACAATGAAAGAGATAAACAAATGCTACTGTAATCATATAATGCATACCCTTACCCACGGAGACCAGGTGGCTGTAGTTCTCCAGCATCACATCTCTGTACAGGGACTTCTGGCTCGGGTCTAGGTGCTGCCACTCCTCCTGGGTGAAGCCTACAGTCACATCCTTAAATGATACAGATCCATGGAGTTTCTGTTCAGTTAAAAATGTATAGCATTAGGTGACATGGAAAAAGATATACTGCATGCACTTTATAGCTTGTGAAAATTATTTAAGAATTTTTGGGGCATATACTTCAGAGGGAAAGAAAACTAACTGGTATACTCTCCTATTGCCTTACGGTATTAATTTATGCAAAGAAAAATCAGCAGTCCCCACAGTGTGTGTGGGACTATTAGTGTGGTTGTAAATAGTAAGATGAATAATATTTTTATTTCAGGAATATATAATCTCATAAGGAAATAAATGTAGTATTATGTTGCAAGTGCTAAAATGAAACTGCATACAATACAGACAAATGATACAAATAAGGAGCAAAATTAGCTCTACTTTGAATTTCACTGGGAAGTCAGCTGAAGATAATACTGTACTGCATCCCCAGAAGGATTAGGACCATGACACAAACAACGGCAGGACCCTCTCACACACTCAAGAAACCAGCAACAGGGCAAGAAGCGCAGGAGGACAGGAGCTGTGACCTGGTGCTGCCATGAGAAAAAAGGCCAGGAGAACACTAACGAAAGTCATTAGGCAGTGGGTTTACACAAACATTTATACTTACAAATTATAGAAGTAAACTGCCAATACATTTATTATGCATTCCAACTTCTCATTCAGATTTTAAAATGCAGAAATACATCTTAATATTTTATTTGATTGCAATACATATTCCATGCTCTAATTGTTCAATTCAGAGGCAATCGTTAGGATGTGTAGAAAATGGAAGGACTTTGAAACTACTATGATTGTGAAATCTGTGAAGTACATACTGTGAAGTACATAGTTGATAGCCAATTGGTTTGTTTGGACACCCTCTTAAATGCATATCTATTTTAGGGGTCACTGCTGTGTTAAAAAGGAGGGCAGTGAAGAGATGTGAGCATATACTGAAACAATGTGGGCAGGATTTTATTTATAGAACCTATTCTCTTGAGAAAGGCAAGAGACAACTAAAGGACAAAACACCATCACTTAGGCAAACTACCACAGCAGAAATTGGGATGCAAACAGGGCACTGATGACAGGAGTGGTCACCAACTCAGGGGGCATCCACGAGAACAGTGGACACTAGACTGGAGTGGTATTTTAGCAAGACGGGGCATCCACGAGAACAGTGGACACTAGACTGGAGTGGTATTTTAGCAAGACGGGGCTTACACGAGCTAGATCTGAAGCATAATACTGAAGAGTTAGAATGAAAGTAAATATCTGAGAGATATTACAATTTGGAAGCTGATTCTTCAAGAGTTAACTGGAGGCTCTCAGAGAACCTATGAAAGAAAATACAAATACAAATACAATAAAGAAAATACAATAAAGTCTGAGGGAAAAATATTATCTTATATCTGGCTTAAAGAGAGAACGGAATATGAAGATCAGGAATTTCCTGGAACCATGGAAATTCAAGTAAGAATAGTTTTAAAAACCAGCTAATATCAATAGATGCAGAAAAGTATGATTTAAAAAATGCTTGACATGGCTGGGAGTGCTGGTGCACACCTGTAATCTTCGCACTCAGGAGACTGAGGTAGGAGGGTCGCTGCAAGTTTGAGGCAAGCCTGGGCTGCAAAGTGAGTTCAAGGCCAGCCTGAACTGCATAGTGAAACCCTGTCTCAAAAAAGACACATACACACACACACACACACACACACACACACACACTCACACATAAAAAAAAAAAACAAGCGAACAAACAAAACACTTGGCAAACTAGGAATGGAAAGGAATTTCCTCAGTATGATAAAGGGTTTCCATAAATGGTTACAGCAAACACCACATTAACACTAAAATATGGGAAGCATTTAACTTAATAACTAGGACCAACGTAAGGATGCCTGCTATGCCAAATTTTAATCAACATTTTTCTACAGTTTTTAGAGAAGTAACATAATTATGCACACACAGAAAATCCAAATAAAAGCATATTGTAGGATGTAGGTACTCGTTCAGTATAACAAATCTTAGCTATTTCTACAAGCAAACAATATTAAATTTTGAAAGGTATAATTAATAATAGCATGAAAAATAAAACACACAGAGAATTACAAGCTATAATGAAGAAACCAAAGAAAGCTACAGATGAGAAGGCTCAATATGAGGAAAAATATCAGTTCTATCCATGCTGTGGTACAGATGCATTGCAATCTCAAAAAATTCCCAGCAGATACTTTGATGGTCATTAGACAAGCTAATGCTAAAACATATGGAAATAGAGTTTCAGATAGACAAGGCAATCTTGAAGAAAATCTAAGCCAGAAGAAACACTGCCATATATCAAGTATTATTATTAATGTGACAAAATCAATGTGTAACACAGGCACACGGATTTTCAAAAGCAGCAAAGGAACAGAGCCCCAAGACAGAGACACACATGTATGGTCACTTGATTCATGACAAGGGTGACATAAGCACAATCATTTGGTAAACAGTGCTAGTGAAATTATAATTCATATTTATTTTTATCTTAAGAGTGAACCAATATCCATCTTAGTATAAACTTGCAAAGTTAAAGCAGTAAAAATTTTACCTCATGAAAAGATCCCTTAAGACATAAATTAACCATACCACATTAAAGGTAGCAATCCATCTTTATCAAAGCATACAGAACAAAAATGCAAACCACATACTCAGATAATATATATGACAAAGAACTCTTATTGCTAGCATAAAAAGAAATTTATACAGGGAAAGGTCTCGTTTATTCTTTCATTGAAGGAATTAATGTGAACCAAAAAGAGGTATGCTAGCTCAACAGCAAACCATAAACCAAATATTTCAATAGAAACATGGAAGTCAGAAGACACCGGGCAAAATTCCAGCAAGCAATCTGTAAATGTGAAAAACAAAATAGAACAATATTTTATAATGCTAAATAAAAAGCCACCAGAAAAATCAAAATTCTGTAAAAATATCCTAAAATGAATGTATCTTCCAGATGAAGGCTGAAAAATACACAATAAACACAGACAACACAAAAAACCTATACCTCTTCTAGCTCAAAGAAACTGACACTGGATGGGAGAACAAAAGGAATGTAGAAAACTCAGAACAAAACAAAACCTTAATGCACCATAGCCATGCCTTTTGAACTGTACCATGACTCCTACAGTACAGTATGTCTCAGCATGACAATGAGCACTAGATGAGGATAACTGGAGTCAAACCATTTGCAGACTCTTACATTGTGAAGTGATAAATTACTAATTTGATACAGGTGTTCATACAGGAATGCAGGCCAATGCTTCCTCTCAATGTTGTAAATTATACATCAGGATCAAACAAGATGATCCAAAAACCGACACTACTTGAACCATGTCTCTAACCCTTTTTAACACCACTATAGTTTAAGGCAGTGGTGGCGAAACTTTTAGAGACCATGTGCCCAAACTGAAACTCCAAACCCACTTGTTCACTGCAAAATGCCAACACTGCAATGAAACCCAAAAATCCGATGTTAGGCTGCTGGGGCAAGTTAGCTCATGAACCTGTTGTGGCACACATGCCATAAATTCGCCACCACTGATTTAAAGTAATTCACCCTGGAAGATCTCATTCACCCTGGAAGGTTATTGAACATGTGTCCCTATGTTATGACCAAAAAAAGTATCTTCCAGGAAGTCTTTGTCTTTGAAGGATCCAGTCTTCTGTATGGAGTATACAGTGTATTCCTTTCTCCCATGGTAGGCAGAAATATTGGAGACATATCTGCAGCTCACAAGAGTGACTCTAAGATCATATGATCAGTATATGGCAACATACCAACTTAATCTTCCCATAGATCTATTACTTTATATTTTTTTGTGAAGCTTGATTTTTATCTATACCTAATTTCTCACTTAACATACTGACTCTTACAAATAACATGGGGAATTAATAAATGACTTACCTTGCTCATTTTGTGCTATTCTTCGACAGATGCAGGCAATTCTCAAGCTACAACTGGGTTAGAAGAAGAAAGATAGGGTGAAGTATAATTTGTCCTACCTAGTAAACACATACACCCCCTAGATGAAATGCTCTCTGTGGGAAAATGTCCCTGCCCTTTTCACACTTTAGGATCATCAGAAGGAATGGTGAAAAATCTACGGCTCTAATATAATCATGTAGCTCTTGAGCACAAAATTTTTTCACTGGATAAATGTGAATATGTGTATCCCAAGGATTTTACGTTTAAATCTCCCTTGATGCTCACAAATACGTATATGTAACAAAAATATTGGTCATACAAGTTAACACTTTCTCATGAAGGAACAAGTTAACAATGTTCCTAATGAAGAACATTACCACTTCACTAAAACTGTTATTTTAAAAAAATATTTAGGGTTAACGATCAATTTTCTCACTAATATTACTGAGCCGTTGGTTAGTGAATGCACAAAAAGCCACAAAAAGTAGTCCTTCAAGAAAAAAGTTTTAGTATCTTTAAATTGTGTTGTTTCTAAAAGGTGTGCTTCATTTAAAAATGTCCTTTGACATATGTAAAAATGTACACAGTATGGGCTTGGGAGTCAAGGGATCAGACATTAAGTCACCACCACTAACCAACTGAGATCCTGAAAAGGTCACTGGCCTCCAAAAATTTTTTTCTTCTACTACCAAATAAGAACAGATAATTCTGCAAGCTACCGGAGGAGTGCTAGAGCAATCAAGGTCTGGGATGCCCAGACAGGGCTGGCCGCTGGCCTCAAGGCCATGCCCCGGAAGCCCATCACACACGCGTCTCCCAGAAGCACCGCCCGTCCCGGGATACAGGGCTCAAGATCATGCACGCCCAGACATTCCCTTGCGGTACCACCTCCGCTGGATGACACGATGGCGCATGCGCACACTTGCTCCACCCGCGGCCCCACCGACCGCCCAGAGAGAAGAGCGCAGTCCTCTGGGCGCTGGGACTGGACCTGTGCTGACCCGCCCTCACATCCTGACAAAGAGGCCCCGTCCTGGGTACCGTGGGCTCTTCCCCATTTTTGGGCACTTGCCCCTCGCCCAGCTCTTTGGAACTCACCCGTCGATCACGGGTCGTGTTGCAGGGCCCGAAACAGCCGCAGCTGGGAAGCCCCGGACTGCCTCCCAGCTGAGGCCCGCGGAAAACAAGGGGCGGCCGCTGCACGAGGCATGCGCAGAGCCCGCACGGGATTGGCCACGGCTGGAAAACTTACTTTCCCGTGAGGCCCCGCGCACCGCTGTCTGAAGTGGCGCCGGGTCTCTGGGTCCGATTTGGCGAGGTCTGCGGTTCGCAGGATTATGGGTGCTGGGGAGATGCGCTGGCTACAGGGGTGCCGTTTAGATGCGGAGCTGTCCGGTGAGGAAAGCTGCAAATCACGTTTAAACAGACAAATCCGCTCATACAGACCCATTATCCGACGCCGCCCTCAGTGAACCTGTCAGGAAAAAATAGGTGCGAGGACAAAATCCCTAGTTAGAAAGAAGTGGTAGGAAATAGGCACGACCCAAAAGAACATAAATTTCATATGTTCTCTGCGTGTTAAAATTATAAAGCAATAAAGTTGGTTGAATAAAGCCTCTTATAGGAAGGTTATTCTTTAACACAATTTCATTTAAAAATCTCAACTTTTTAATATAGTTTTCTCATTGCTAGTGAGTTGTGTACTTCACAAAAGCATTCTTGACTTCATCTGGGATAAGGACACCTAAATTAACATAAGTTTTAAACCCGAGAAAGGCCTTACAAATATCTATAGTATTTCTCAATATTGGTCAGCTTTCTGTTGGTAGGATAAAATACCTGACAATCATTAAGAGGTTTATTTAGGGGCTGGGGATTTAGCTCAGCGGCACAGCGCCGGTCTGGCAAGTGCAAGGTCTTGAGTTTGATTCCGGGTACCGGGGGGGGGGGGGAAGGAGGTTTATTTGGCTTATAGTTTCAGAGGGTTTTGTCCATGTTCAGTTGACTCTAGAGAAACATCACAGAATGGGTTGTGGAACAAAGCTGCTCATGTCATGGCAGCTGTGAAGCAGAACATAGGGGAAGAGCACCAGAGAGAGATGTCTTCCAAAGGAGCATCCTCAATGATCCACCTTCTCCAACCAGGCCCCACATCCTAACGGCATATTTAGTTGTGAACATCAGTGGGTTAGTCCATTGACGAATATAGCTCTCCCACGATCAAATCACCTCTCCAGGAGTTTTCATCCAATTAAGCTGACAAGATTAGCTGGCACATGCTCTATTCAAAATAGTTCAGTAAGGGTTTCCTGGGAGTAAGATGCTTTAAGAGTATTTTTAAAATACAGCATAATAAATGTACCATTTCCAAACAATGAAGGAAACCTTCTTTTATTTCCTTAAACATAGATTTCTTTAGGTCTTAGGGAAATAATAGGCAACACTTGGGCCCTCAAAGGAAGTTTCCATGCCTTAGTTTTTTCTTGTGTGTGGTCACACTTTCCTCTTTATTTTCTTTCTTGTAATTTGTTATTTATTATTAAAAACTGGGTATTTTGGGTAATATATTGTAGCAAATGGGCCTTTAGATCCCCCATATGGGCATACTGCTGTGTTTGCCAGCACTGGGATTACAGGTGTGTGCCACCATGCCCACCCAGGTTTTGTTTGTTTATTTTGCTTTTTTGGTACTGGGAATCGAATTTAGAACCTGTGCCTGCCAGGCAGGTGCTGTGCCACTGAGCTATATCCCCAGCATGCCCATTCAGTTTAGATGCAGTGGGTGTTTTGTTTTGTTTTGGTTTTGTATTTTTTGAGACAGGGTCTCACTATGTAGTGCAGCTGACCTTGAACTCACTTATGTAGCCCAGGCTGACCTCAAATTCATGGTGACTCTCCTGCCTCAACCTCCTGAGTGCTGGGATTACAGGTGTGTGCCACCAGGCCTAGCAGATATCAGTGTTTCTAACAGTGTTCTTTTTGACTCTCTGATCTTGATATTAAGCTGTTGGGTCTTTATTAGTCATTACTAATTTCTTGCTGATAAAGGCACTGTTTTCCACAATGCCCTGAATGATCCAGTTAAATCCAGGTGACCTTGGCAAAAGTAGCCTTTGAGGCCAGGCTTGCAGATTCTTTCTGACTCAAGAGTAAGTTTTTGGCCGGGCATGGTGGCGCACACCTGTAATCCCAGCACTCGGGAGGCTGAGGCAGGAGGATCATTGTGAGTTCGAGACCAGCCTGGGCTACAAAGTGAGCTCAAGGCCAGCCTGAACTACACAGCAAGACCCTGTCTCAAAAAGACCAAAAAAAAAAAAAGGAAGTTTTTTTTGAGCTGTATCTTTGCCTGGTTTATTCTGGTAAATTTCTAGTTGGTTATAGCATAATAGGCTGTACTTATCTATTTTTATCACATATAGGATGCCCATATTTCAAATGATTTGAAATAGCAGTTTATCAAGAATGTGAATACTGTGTCTATAATTGTTAAATATGTTTTCTCAGTTTGTGTTTTAACTTTGTTTTCTTTTAATTTGGACTTTTAAGTATGCCACAGTAACTACCTCAGTTAAGCATGCTTTTTAAAAACCCACCAATGTCACTTTCCTGCAGGCAAATTTGCTTAAGTAACACAAAGATTTTGCCCTCAAAGTCCTTCATTCTCTGTTGCTCCCTGCCCTCTAGTTAGGTGTGGCTGTCCCTGATGGCTCCTGTCTTATCTCTGACCTTTTGGAGTATACTGCCCTCTTCTCTCTAGGATCTGTGTTATGGTTTAGATCTAAACTCTCTCCCAGGCATTTCATATGTTTGGAGGGTGCTATATGGGATCATGGGGCTATATTCATCAATAAATTCATCTGTTGATGAGTTCAGTCATTGAATGTGCTGCTCATTCAATGGAGCTTAGTTGGAGGGGAGTGGAGCTTAGTTGCAGGGGAGTCCCTGGGGTTATGATTTGGAAGAGTGTGTTTGTGTCCCTAGCTCCTCTTTCACTGTCTGCTTCCTGGCTGCCATGGATTAAGAAACTTTTCTTCCACCAGGCCCCTCTGTTGCCCCATTTCTGCCTTGAAGCCAGCTGACTATGGACTGAACCCTCAAAAACACTGTGAGCTAAAATAAACTTCTGCTTTACATTGTGGGAGTCAGATACAGGTGTCTTCTTCCAGCCATGGGAAAGTGACTAAAACACTAAGTAATAGGGATTGCATCTGTTACTTCATTGTGTCTTCTTGTGCAGCCCCCTCTTTGTCTCAGTTGACTGACACACTGAAGCCTAACTCTTCTCTCCCAGTCAGGACTCTCCTAGGGTGGTTGTCTTAGTAGGAGTAAACTGGACAAAGGTAAAACAAGAGCTTTAAGATCTTCCAGTACACATAATCTGTGAGAGGGAAATTTAGTAATGGTTCAGACAGTTAAGATATTGGGCTATACACCAGGAGAAAGGAAGGCAAACTGTAAACATTTACCACCAAATTGGGGCATGGCTGGAGGGTACAGTACAGCTACTCTCAGAGGGAGATAGATCTCAATGCCAAATTAGGGGAAGGAGGGTGTAACTCAGTGGTAAAGTACATGTTTAGCACTCATGAATATCTAGGATGGATCTTGAAAACTATTAACACCAAAATAGATGAAAATAAAACTACAATGTCCACACCATTGTTTTTGGGTGGTTGTTGTTGTTGTTTTTGGGGTTTTTTTTTTTTTTTTGTCTTTTTGAGGGGGGACAAGTTCTCACTAAACAGTTCAGGCTGGCCTTGAGCTCACTTTGTAGCCCAGGCTGGCCTCAAACTCGCAGCGAGCCTCCTGCCTCAGCCTCCCAAGTGCTGGGATTACAGGCATGCACCACCACACCCAGCACCATTGCTGTTATTTAAAATGACTTTAACAGATTCTTATCTTTGGTCTATTTCTGTGGATTTTTTTTGTTTTTTTTTGGTTTTTCTCCGGTACCGGGAACTGAACTCACGACCTTGCGCTTGCCAGGCAGGCGCTTTGCCGCTGAGCTAAATCCCCAGCCCCACTGTGGATTTTTTTTAAACCAAGCATCAAACCTTTAAATTACTTTTATAACAACTTACATTTCCCTAACAGTTCCTGGATATTTTCCAAGGTTATTTAAAGGAGGTTAGAAATTTGTGTTGCCAAGTAAAACAAAACTGAACTCTTCATCCGAAATTTTTATTAAAGTGTTGACGGAAATTGTATTAAATTTTATAGTCTTCTGTAGAAGTAAGAGAGGCCAGGAGAAAGAAGGAAAGAAGTTAGACAGATAGGGTACAAGTCCCTGAATATTTAACCTGAGTAAACTAAAAGACAGGGTTTAAGTGTGGTAAAATGCAAAGGGCCCAAATAATTAACTTGAGTAATAACTATCAGGGCCACAGTGGAAGGCAAAGGACAAAGAACAAGTCCCTAAATAAATTGGAAAAAGTCTTAAAGGACTGAAATGCAAACAAGGCAACCTGCTTTCTGGATCTCAAAGGCCTGACAGTAAGTAACAGCATCCATGTGTTCTGTCACTGTCACTTGTACCAAAATAGTATAAAAGCCACTGGATTTAAACACCCGAGCTGTCCAGCTTTTGCAACCTCTCCCCAACTCGGGGTATGTGGTGGGGGTATGTGGAGTGCCTTTTTATTCTTTCTAATAAACATGTATCTAGTCATTTCCCACCACTTGCCATTTTGTGAGCTTCAATCTTCTTTGCCTCAGAACAAGGACCCAGAGCGGGAGGGTGCTGGTTACATAAGGATAAATGTAAAAATTACATTTTCCCTTTTACAAGGGAATTGTCTCACTTTTGATAGTTAGTCTTCACTGCCAACTTGATTAACTCGACAGATGCCTAGGAGATTAGTAAAGCACACTTCTGGGCGTGTCTGTGTGGGTCATGGCGGCATGACCTCAGGGACTATACTGGTCCCTGGCCTCTTTCTGTTTGGGCTCTTCTCTAGTTCTCTGCTTCCAGGCTGCCATGAGGTATGTGACTTTCCCTGATGTGCCCATTTGCCATAAAAGTTCTGCCTTGGAGTCCACTAACCAGGACTTAAACTTCTGAAACCATGAGCCAAAAAAGAAACCTCTCCTATCTTAAACTGTAGGTGTTGAGTATTTTGTCTCAGGACAAAAGCTGACCAATATATCCTTTTCTTTCCTTAACACTTGAGAAAACGTGTAATTCTAAAACTTGTCATTCTAAACCTAATTCTTTGAGATTTAGTAAATCTCTTCAAAAAGTAAATAAGCCTATTGCTAGTTTTACACCTAGGAAGGCCAGCTTTTTGTTTGTCAGTGCTGGGACTCAAACCCAAGGCTTTGTATATGCTGTGCCAGTGCCAGTGAACCTTTTGAGGGACCAAGTGCCTAAACTTCAACCCCCAAACCACTTATTTATCACAAAGTGACAACACTGCAACTAAACCTGAATATCCAATGCTCCCCTGCTAGGATGATGCTGGGGCAATTTGGCTCATTTGCTGATAGAGAGGGCTCTGCATGCCTGCTGTGGCACGTGTGACATAGGTTTACCATCACTGTTCTAGGCAAAGGGTGTATTACTGAGCCATAGATACCTCAGCTCCAGGAAAATCATTCTTTCTTTTTTTTTTTTTTTAGAGAGGGTCTTCCTATGTAGATCATCCTAGTTTGAATTGCTGCGTCAGCCTCCCAAGTACTAGGACTACAGGTGTGCTTCAAATCTTCCAACCCCAAGAAGATCTTTCTTAATAACTTGGGGCTGTGTCTTTGAAAGGTAAACATCAAAGAAGACCACATCCACCCTCCCTATCTCTGTGGGAAATGCCTAGGATCCTGGCTACTTATTGTAACTATTGTACCTGTCTGTCATAGAGATTTTTTAAAACTTCACTTTTCATTTGGAAAAGGCAATTACAACAGATGGCTACCCTACAATACCAGCTGATTTTAGGATGAGTTACGTGTAACAAATGGTGGCGTAAGGTCCACTTTCTTGAGGACATGTCAATTTGCCATGAAATTTACACCTTGGAGTCCACTGGCCAGGACTTAAACTTCTGAAACCATAAGCCAAACAATAAACCTCTCCTCCCTTAAACTGTGTTTTATCTAGAGAATATGTAATGGGTTGTACCTGCCTGGCAATGCAAAAATGGCGTATTTCCTTCTTTGCAAACTCATTAGTGGATTGTCTGTACATGGCAGTCTGGTTTAATGTTCACTCAATAATACAAGGTTTTTTTTTTTCTTTCTTCCATTGGTAAGTGGAATTTTCTGGGTTAGCAGGAGGCTTTAATTATTTCCATAACAACCACTATCCAGAAAATGGTATGTGTGTGCATATACATGTGTTATGGTTTCTACATGTTTTAAATTTAATTCTGTAATAATTTTTATGTTTACATAGCCATTTTGAATAGAAACTTATTTATGTAGTTGGCACAGAGCAAAGTGAAGTCGTCAAGATATTGACCACAATTTGTTCCATGTATTTCATATATCTTCCTTAGTGAAATAATAGTCATGGTATTCTAAACCAGTAACGATGGAGAGCCTCCAAATGATACACTGGAAATACTGTAATTTCCAGCCTGCTAGATGTCCCATACCCTGAGTTTATGTTCCCCAAAATCTAAAAATAAATTCTAAAGAACCGAGGTTAAGAGTAGGAAATTTTATTGAGGGAGAGACAGCTCCTGTGAGAGACCGAGAAAGTGGGTTGCCAACAAGACCACTTCTCAAAGGAAGTTTTATAGAGCAAAATCACAGTACGGGTGCGAAATCACAAGGTGGGTAAAACACGGAACAAAACTATGATCAACCAGTAAGATTACAAGTATAGTCATTTAGGCAATACTGATCCAGTGGGGAAGCAAGTCACATAGTAAGTGTACATGGAAAGAATAAAGACATATTTTGGAAGAGATGGGTCAGGAGGTCCTGGTCCCCCACCTGGGTGACTGATGCCTATTTAGAGTATCGATCATTACTGTTTATCCCTCAGGAAGGTATGCAGGTGTAGCTAGTCCATGTTTATCTTGAGGCCGGGCCTTCAAGGAGTGCACCTCCAGCCACGGTTGTTATGTGTGCTAATCTTCTGCAGTGACTCCTTCGAAGGCCTAACCCTGTCTGATTGACTATAATATTGCTACCTAACTTAGATGTCTGTAATAGTAGGTCAGGATTTGCGTAAAACTCTGAGATGCCTGTATACCTTAGAATGTAGTCTTTTTGTTTGTTTGTTTTGTTTTTTCCAGTACCGGGAATCGAACTCACGACCTTGAGCTTGCTAGGCAGGCGCTGTGCCACTGAGCTAAATCCCCAGCCCTGTCTGTATACCTTATATTAAGCTTTTTTTTTCTTTTGAGAAATGGTATGTGCGGTACTCACCTGTTTTAACTTATCACATTACTCAGCTATAATTTGCACCATTTGGGAGGGTGTTACCAGGATAAAGGCCTCATTTACGGGATAGATCGTTCTTTGCAGGTAGCTGTCTGCTCAGGCCCAAGGGCCTGCGTCACGATCCATTCTCTTTGCAGGGAGCCGGCGCGGTGGCTCTCCACTTGGGACGCCAGCCTGGCCAACTCCTTGTCTCTAGAATCCAAAAAAAACCTTTTTTTAATAGAAAATAAGAGGTATCCCTAGCGAGGCCCCACGCAGATTCCGGAGCCAAAGTCGGGAAGCTAGTGAGGCGCCTCCGCGCGGGGACTTCTGGGAGTCATGCGGGCTCTGCGCCTGCGCGAAGTCCGTGCTGTCAGTTCGGCTTTGTCCGGCGCCCCGGGGGGCTGAGGGCAAGCCCTGGTCTCCCTGGAGCGGCCGAGGGCGGGGCAGTGGCCTGAGGGAGGCCTGGCCCTGCAGGTGTGTCGGAAGCCTCTGCGGAGGCCTGCCAGGAGGGGCGGGGACCAGCGAAAGGGACAGGTCCACCAAGGGGAGGGAGAGGGGTGGCTCGGCGGGGGGGAGGGGGTCGCGCCGCGGTCACGGTCACCCACGTAGGGACTGCCTGAGTCGGACCTATGGAGGGAAGAGGCTACCCATAAAGGTGAGCTACTCGCGTTGTCACCAGGATGCTGCTGTTCCATTACAGTCTCGTTCGGGCCACACGACCATCCTTCAGGTGGTGTCACATCCACCTTCCGTTGTCAGCAGCAGCAGCTCTACAGACGCCCAGCGAGTTGGTCCACCCGGTGTTGGCAGTGCGGCTCCAGGCCTCTGTCCCGCGCGGATCACGCCCTTTCATGCGCTGACATCCAGCCCTACTGGTACCCAGCGTCGGGTTCTCCCTGCGCACCTGCAGAAGCCAGCCGCGGAGTGCACGCAATCCGGCCTCACCACGGAGTGTTCCAGTTCCAGAATCTTGGGTTCGCCCAACCTTTGGGTCAGTTTTTCTCAGGGGCTGTAACTGCTGAATGAGTAAATCAAAACCAGTTTGAGTTTTCAGTTTTTAAATTTAACTGAGAAACTGGGGGCCCTATCCAGGCCAGAGGTTTGTTTCTAGAGAAAGAAAATGGAACAGATTTTTTAAAAATCGTAAAAACTGTATTCATCCTTGTGGTATTTGGGCTTCTCAGGCAAGCTGATAGAGGTTTCTGCTGGGTATGAAAAGGGCTTCAAAATTATGAATCTGGTTGTCTTTTGCTGCACACATGAAGTACCTGTTTGGGATTCTGGTGCCATCTGCCGTTTTAAAAGCTAGATATGTCAGTGTCAGCAAATTTGGTGACCATGTTAAAGTCTACCAAGGCCTTATTATATTTTACCCCAGACCCAGCCGAAATTTTGAGAGGGCAGTGAATTCTAGGGTATTGTCTAGATTTATGGTTGAGTGAAGACTGTAAAAGACCATAATGGTACACGAAGGGTTTTTGAAGATTAATGCCTCACTTTAAAGGTGACAGTATTATAAGTAGACAATATAGTCACTGTCTTAATAAAGCCTATAGTTGAACTGAAGTCTCCAAATTCATTATGGGATACTTACATAACATATGGTATTCGAAGAATTGTATTTTGAGAAATTGTAATTTAGACAGAAGAGATGTCTCACTTTTTAAAGAACTTTGAAATGATTTTCTAATGGGGCTTATGATATTAATAGAAGAAATTATCACATGTAATTTTAAAAGCTTCTAGTATCAATAAATATTTGCTTCAGCAGCATCTATAATGCCAGAAAAGAGTTCCATGTTTGGATATATTATATACTTTATTTAAGCTATTATTCAGTGTTTAGCTTTTCAATTCATTAGTTGTTCAGTGAACAGACACATAGGTTTCAAAACAGCCAATAGGAAAGGAATGTTCAGATTCTCTCAAAAATGTCCCTAGTTCAAGATTATGTCAGAGCCATCAATGGACAGATTTGGTAGTAGTACTTCATTATCTTTCCTGTTCATTCTGATGTGTCAAAGGGACATTCCTTAGAAGGTTATCTTACTAAAATGTTGTGTGGAAATTTCTCACAGGTGATTCCTGGAGCTGCAAGACACTGTCTCTTATGACTTTTTTCCTCCAACTTTTCCCGTTCTGGCCTCATAGTTTCTACCCTTTCCCGAGATCCGCAAAAAATGAACAAGTTCAAAGTGAGTCATTTATTTAGCCCTTTGTTTCACTGTGTGTGTGTGTGTGTGTGTGTGTTTGATGAGTTGTTTTTAAAAAAGTCTACGTATTAAATTAGAAAAGTAGAAATAATTAAAAATCACACTGGGAGAAAATTCTTTGAATAAAACAGCAGCTCTCCACAAAATGTGATCTGCTGAGTGCTAGGAGTTCTGAGACCTCCTTGAGGTCTGGGGAGGCTGAGGCAGGAGGATCATTGTGAGTTTGAGACCAGCCTGGGCTACAAAGTGAGCTCAAGGCCAGCCTGAACTGCATAGTGAGACCCTGTCTCATAAAAAAGACCAAAAATAAATAAATAAATCTTGACCCTCAAGTATACATCTTTTTAATATTCTGTGCAACAAAATGGGAAGTTCCCATAAAACCCTTCTGTTGCCTCCTGAACTGTGATGGTTGGTTGTCACAAGGACAAGCATTCATTTGACTTGTGCAAATGCATTGCCATTTTTTTTATCAGATACCTTTTTTACTTGAAAGAACAACTGCTAAACAAACTATGGTTATTCACACTTTTGTATTTAACATTTTCTCAAAAGTGATCAAGTGAGTCTGCTACTTTAAAGCAAACAACTTGGTGTTGGTTTCAGTACTGCAAATAGAACCCAGCAGCACATTACCACTGAGCTGCACCCCTGCAGTCTTTTTATCTTTTGAGGCAGGTTGTCTTTGTTGTCCTAAGTACCCCAGGCTTGGCCTTGAACTTGAGATCCTCTTGCGAAGCCTGCCTAAGTGTTAGAATTATGGTTGTGTCAACCACACACAACAATATTTTTCACCAGTGTCAAAATTTAAGCTTTAAGGTAAAAATTACAATTTTGGAAAACTTGTGTCCTCCATTATGAACTTGAGACTTTCCTACTAAAGACTTTCCTAGGAAGGATGATATTGAGACTAACAAGTATTCAAGTACAATTAGTAAAATGTATAATAAAATGCACCAGCATTTGAGTAGTATTTCTGAGGTATATGCTCAGAGGCAAACTCATAATTTGAGAGGATGGAACAATATAAAGAAGTGAGGAATAGGCTGTAGGGTTTATTAGGGAACAACGTTCTGAAAGGCAGGGTTTTTTTGGGTTTTGTTTTGTTTTGTTTTTTATCTGGTACCAAACTCAGGACCTCAAGCTTGCCAGGAAAGTGCTGTGCCCCTGCCTATATCCCTGGCCCTGAAAGGCAGTGTTTGAGGAAAGTCCTGAATTAACTGAGACGGGGAGCTAGATAGATATCTAGGGAAGAATGATCTAGATGGGAGGAACAACTGAGGCATGTTCCAAAATGAGTATTCAGACACTGAGGATAGAGAAGTGACTTAGGGGGAGACTGATGAGAATTAAAGCGATGAACTAGAGCATAGGAGATATAGGGCTGGAGTAGTCTCCTTACCTAACCCATAAAAAATTAGCTGCAATTTAAGATTTCTGTCTAGCTAATGAGTTGCTTCCAAAAACAACCTTTCTGTAGAAATCCCTATTAAAAAGCAAACAAACAAAACATCTCTCCTGAGCTGGCTTTGTGGGAGACAATTCAGGGCTGTCCTGACTCAATGTCCCTGAACTACAATTCTTTTTTTCTTTAGTCCTTGAGATTGAACCCAGGGCCTTCCCACTGAGCTACATCCCCAGCCTAAAGGTTAGGATGTCAACACTTTTTTGGCGGACACACAATTCACCCACTTATATACACGTAGGTAAAACCTGAAGCAGAGGAGAGGGTAATTGGTGAATGGTCTATGGCAGTAGAAATGACTAATGAATCTGTTTTTTTTCTCTCTTTTAAGAGTCTGTCTCACTCTTGTCCAGGCTGCTCTATAACTTCTGAGCTCAAGTGATTCTCCCTTCTCAGTCTCTTAAGTAGCTGGGACTATGGGACCCAGCTCCTCCTCTGGAGTAATTTTGACTGTGCAGTTGTTACTAGCAAGGCGTCAAATTTTTTGACGCAGATCTTGAAACTTTTTTGTTTGTTCATAGCCATTTTAGCCACAGTTGGTTTCTTTTACCTTTCTTTATTCTACCTCTTAATTTCTGTTGGCCTGACTTTCTTCTGTATTAAGACACCCTTTATAGTTACTGCTTTTACTTTGTTTGTTTTAGGGAGAGTTTGCTGGTAGAAACCTATTTTATTTATCTGAAATATTGGTGAAAACTTCCAGTGTGTTATGAGTCTATTATCTCCTTTATTGACTGTTAAGCCTATTTTTATGTTAGTTTATTGATTAGTCTGGAAATTATAATATGCACAATTAACTTATTCAGTATTTTCAAATAATATACTATTTATTCATAAGCAGTGAAATAAATTTTCAATAGTATAACTCTCTTAATACCCCCTTTACCTTTTGTGATCTTTGTCTTACAGCTCATTTCTCATATATTTTTAACTTTAAATACTTTTGCTTTAAACGGTTACCACTATTTTAAAGAAACAAGTACACATGTGTGTGCAAATAAAAGTTTTTTATGAATATATGTATCCTTTGGGTACTCTTTATTCTTTCCTGTAGATCTGATTTATTTCACTAATATCTTTTTCATAAGTCTAAAGAACTTATTTTATCATTTCAGTACTAATAGTAACAAATTGACTTGAATTTCTGAAAATGTTTTTCACTTTGATTTTTGAAGGATATACTTGTTGAATTCAAAACTCTATATAGAGAGTTTTCTTTGCTTCTGTACTTTTAGGATATATTTGTCTTCTGTGGTTTCTGATTAGAAGGCTATTATTCCCTTGAACATAATTATACTTTAGTTTTTTAACATTTAGACTGTCATGTGTGCAGGTATAGTTTGTTGTGTGTTAATCCTTCTGAGAGCCTAATGAAGACCTGTAGGTTATTTCCTTTTCCATTTTAAAAAATAGTTGGAGCTGGGCATGGTGGCACATGCCTGTAATCCCAGTACTTAGGAGGCTGTGGCAGGAGGATCACAAAAATTTCAAGGCCAGCCTGGGCTATTAGTGAGTTCAAGACCAGCCTGAACTACATAACAAGACCTGTCTCAAATTAAATACATACATACACACATAGTTGGGTGCTCACTTTTGAAATATTCTCTTTGCCCCATTCTCTTTTCTTAGGATTCCAGTTACATAAATGTTGAACTATGTATACATTATTCTAAATGCCTCAAATGCTATTTAGACTGGGTTTTTTTTTTGGGGGGGTCCTTTTTGGATGATATCTAATGAGCTGATTTTTTTTTCCAGTTCATAGTTCCCTTCTTCTGCTCTGCCCATTCTCTTCATAATCCCATGAAATCTACTTCTGATAATGTATTTTTAAATTCTAATTTTTTCTCTGATAAATTTCCCATCCTTTCATCTGTCTTGTCTGCTTTACTACATCATTTCAGATTTTTATCATAATTACTTTAAAGTTCTTATCTGCTAATACTAACATCTAGATTATCTGTGGGTCTCCTTCATTTGGCCCCATTATGTAGTCTGAATCAGTGTTCTACTTCTTTAAATGTCTCATAATTTACTATTAAATGTTGGATATTATGTTTAGAATAACAGTAGATTCTTCTAGAGATTGAGGTAAATAATAGCCCCAGAAAATGATACAACCCTTCTTCTCTCTGGTTGCTGTGTCAGCCTGACATATATTTGAGCTGGCCATGGGCTTCAGTTAGATTCAGCTCACTGATCTCCAGTGATCTGAGGCAGGATTAAGGCATGGGTTGTGACACCAAGGCCCCCATCTGCATTTTAGCCTTGCCACCAGCTGTTCTTTGGGTAGCTGAAGACTTTCTGCCTGGCAGGCAGTGCTTTCCCCACCTAAGTTGTCCCCACCTGGAGTACTGTTCTTAGCTTTTTGAGTTTGCTGGACTAAGGCAAGGCCCTTTGGGAAAAAAATGGTGGGTATTTGTATTTTAGAGCATCCAAATCTATTATGGAGCTTCCTATTTGGTTCCAGAAACTGCTTCCCCTTTTGGACTAAGATGACCATTTAGAGATAGCTGATAGGAAGTAAAACTGTTCCATAGATAGGAAGCTTCTGTTGGAGACCTCTTGGATATAAAATCCCTTTAGTCATCAGGTAGTATCAAAAGCAGTTGGTGCAGTCATTGTTGACTTGCTTTGTGACTGGCACTTTTAGGGATTCAAACCCACAAGCAAACATTAAAAGTTTGTTATTCTCTCCAAATTGCCCCCAGAAATGAAAGTAGTTGTTTTCTTTTCTCTTTTTAAGTGTTCTGATCTGAATTTTGGCCTTTGTTCATCTTTGGGATTATCAGTTCTCTGACTGATTTTAGAGGCCTTATAATTTCCTATGTAAAGGGCTTATTTTGTCAGGGTGAGATCAGTTTATTTTTTGACACTCTATATTCTACTCAGAATTAAATTTTTTCCTTGTTCGAGAAATGCCTGTTCTAACCTGCTTTGTGCTATCTTTGTCCTGGCTATGAAACTCGGAAATACCCTGAAAATTCTTTTTTTTTTTTTTT